AAAACTCTTGGCCTCTTATCATCTACAATGAGTGCTTCTTCAAAGTATCAAAAAAGGTAGAGATGTTTATATTCTATCTGAAATATTCAAATATAGGTGACCATACCTTTCTTGCAACAATTGCGAACAACCGAGCATTCCTGACGCATGAGTCATGGAATCCAATAACGCAGTAGTTATCGAACCTGAAAATGAAATGGTAGCTGTTATTTTGATAAATTCTTATTTTGTTGAATTTTATTCTTTCCTGTTCTATCAGTATGAGAAGAGTAAAAATAATAGTATCCCGAAATTTTTTAAAGCTATAGTGATTACTTTGTAATTTTCCGAAATAGCGTTATTTCTAAGAGCCATAGAGAATACTGAACTTCCATTATAAATATCTAGATGTAAAACGGCAACATGACCAAGTAATATATAGATTCGCCGTATTTAGGATTGACCCTTTAAAATATTAGTTCTTTACAGACTATGCGCTCTACTATGTACCGCAACGTGGTTTTGCTCCTCAAATGCATTAATTGCTTTAATGGGCATTGCCCTACTGAACAGATAAGAATTTCAGAACTAGACTCACTTTCGATCAGCAGGATCCATACCGGCGAATATCACAGTATTGACGGGGAAATGACGACGGAAGAACACTTTTCTAGTATTATCAGTAAGCGTAACACCTTGTGAGGAGACCTATAAATATGATCTATAAAATGAGAAATTGGAGAAGCGAAATGACTGATAAGAAAAACGACGAAGCGCTGATCTCACCTTGAAATGTACGGAAACAGGTCGAGATAGTCCTCGTTGTGTATCTTCAACAGTTCGAGCTACAGCTCTTCGCACACATTCGCTGCCAGTCAGTGATTCACAGTCAACGCTGCCAATATAGGCGACATTGCAGGCTAAAAGGGAACTTTGCAGACTTAATTAATACTTACACAGCAAATCAACTCAAGATAACCAATGAGATGTTTCTTAACCTTAGGGACAATGCAAGAGGCTTTGAAATATTATAAATATCCTAAAAAATATCAAAATTTTAGGATGT